TTATGTGCCAGAAACCCCCAAGTTATATATAACACGCCCTTTATTATGTTTTATTAAAAAATGATTTTTATAATAAAATTTATAATATTACATTAAAAAAATCAAATAATTTTAAATGGATGTATACATGTTTTTAATGGATGATGATTGTTGTTGTTGTTAAAGGTTTCAATCATGGAATTTTTTAATTGTGAGAACTTGATAAAAGAAAAAATTTCATCTTTATTTATACAGATTTTTGGAATTTGATGATTTATTGTTGTGTTGTCTTGTTTTATTAATATAGTTGTTTGCATTCATCTTTTTATTGTTATTAGGAAATTTGGATCGAATGTTCTTTAATACTAATTAAACAATTTTAATATTGTTGTTTGCTTTTACCTTTTAAATTTATATCTTGTGAATTCACTATAATGTGATTGGTATTTTTATTAAATATAATATTCATTGAAATGATTTAACTGTAGGTTCACATTATCACTATCATTATCATCATCATTATCATTATCACTATAACGTTGGAAGCAAAAGAAGTAATAATTACCCGAGCAGCCAAGAAATTTTCTTGAGTTCCTTATTTTGCGGGAGAGGAATTTAATCAGGAATTGGCTAAGTATCAAGAAAAGCAAAACAAAAAGGTGAATATTGTTGACTTTAGTCAATCTGGATTATAATCGTCATTATCATTGTCCATGTTGCAAATAAGTAAAGGAGAGATATCCATGGGTAAGGTTGTGGATGAAACTCCTCCAGAAATCAATCGACAGGTTACACATTAATTGTTTGGCAGAGTTCGCATTTGGGGGTTTTGTCAATCGCCAGAGTTTTGACAGTCACTAAGAGGTTTCGGCAGGCAACCTTAAACCAAACGTTCCACTTTAATTGTAAATCATTGTTTCAGTAGGTGAAATGAAGCCACATTCACATTATCGGCTAAATGTACATATAAGCCGATTTGGTTTTTATACCCTTTTTTCAAACCTTATATCTTATTGTGTCTCGACGTTAAACACGTTAAACATGATGTGTAAACTGGTCAATAGAATGATAATTAACCCCAAAAAATTTATTTGCATCGCTAAAAAAACTATTTTACTATTAACCACAAAACCAATGGGTTTTTGCTAGTATATTCATAACGTTATGATACTGGATTTTGGGCTTCAAACAAAATCAGTGCATATGAAGATAATGGTGAATAAATGTGAAACACAACTAAATTGATTTACTACTATTGAAATCTTTGTGATTATAATTTATTGTCATCATAATTAACATATATCTGCTTTAGTGTTATTAACTCTATTATTATTATTATTATTATTATCATTGTATTATTATAGTTTATTGAAAGATAATATAACAGTTGATTCATAATGAGCAGGCATAAGAGTTGTTCATTGTTTAAAAGAAATTTTATTAAATAACAACATAATTACATAGTTGTGTGATTTTTTATTAATCTCCGCTTAAATAAAATATTTTAAAAAATTTTTTTTTTATATACTTAACCGGTTACGGGTTTTTTGACTGATTCTAACCTCTATATAAAAGGCTTCTTTGAATTGTAAAAATGGTCCTTTGATGAATTGTAGAAAATTACTTTTGACATTATCATAATAAATTTAAATTCAAAAAAATATATTTTTGGCGGATTGTAAAAGCTTTTTTTGAATTACAGAAAATGGTCTTTTGACAAATTGTAAAAAAAGACTTTGACATTATCCCATAAATCATTTAAATTGCAAAAGGCATCTCTGAATTGTAAAAAATGGTCTTTTGGCGAATTGTCTCTTGACATTACCCTAATAAATCATAAAAAATATACTTTTGACGTGAATTTTAAAAGGTTTTTTTGAATTTTAAAACAATTATTCTTTGGCAAATTATAAAAAAAGACTCGGCATTATCCTAGCAAATCATTTAAATATCATAAAAAACAGACTTTTGGCGCGAATTGTAAAAGGCCTTTCTTGAATTGTAAAAATGGTCTTTTGGCGAACTGTTTGGTAGAATATAAAAAGGGTAAGTATTCCAACTTCTTTTACTATAATTGAAGTAATATCTTTGATATAATTAATAAACTGTCAACTAATTATCTATATATGTGATTGCTTATTGCAATTTTTCTCTTTAAAAATCAATTATTTTTAATAACCTACGTAATATGCATTTATCTATTTTTTTTTAATTTGTAAAATGTATTGCGTAATTCTATGCTAATATTAACGTTATTTTATGCACATGATATAGACATTATTCATTATATTCATTATGAACTTACTGCGGCCAGTTTATTTGTTTGTCTATTTGTACGTTTATTCGTTTATTTAATATTAATTATTATTGTTACTTATTTGAATATTAAACTTTCCTTTTAAGAAATATCGATGTAAATCATGTGGGAACCGGTTTGCGGTTCCATGATCGGATCGGTTCAGATCCAGTTCCCTAGTACTAGTGGAACCGCCCCATTCTTAACACTCGCTACATGGTATCCCTAAACTCTTATAATTAAAAAATGATTTTTAAATTCTATCGAAAGGAAGAGGGATGTTCTTGATAGACAGAATAATTTTGCGTTTCGTGTTGGTTAAGCTGCTTTTTGTTCTATATGATTTACTTGCATATAATGCAAATCTCTGAATGGTTGCTGTTGTTGCTGTTGTTGTCACCAATCTCGACATTGGGTAATGTGTAATGTTTAATTTTTTGAAAGGAACCTTATGCATGTATGTATGCATGTTAATCTCGGGAGGGAATACCTGTTATTATTATTTATAAGGAATATAAAAACTTGTGTAACATAAAATTTGTTTATTTATTTACTTAATGGGAATGGTCCTGATTGAAAATCACCAGTTCATTCGGAAAAGAAACATTTAATATTAATACTAAATATTTAGCCCGATACACGATATACCACTTAAGGATATAAACTTCTCTATATTTTTTCTATTGTCGTGCATTTACCATATAGCAACGTTATTTATTGACATGATGCGGATTTTCCTTTAACTTCTCTTAATCTCTGTAAATAGAAATCACTTGCTCTGGATTGAAACAACTACATGATTATAATGTTTTGCATATTTGAGTAAGTAACCAGTCAAATAAAAATTACCAAATTGCAAAAGCAAATAAAAATAATTACAAATATTACATTAATTGAATTAAAAAAAGGAAGAAAACAATTAATAGATTGATAAAATAAAACAATAGATATTAATATGCATATATTTTATCTACCGTTAGTTTCCATTATAAATGTAATAATAAGGGATAATAAACTTTCCGAGAAAATAGCTATTTTTTTATAATTATTATTCAATTTACTTTTACTAGAAAAAAAAATTAAAAAAAAAAAATAATAATTTTAAAATTTTTTTATATATTATAACAAAAATTATAAAACATAATAACCTTTAGGATTTTGTTTAAAATCAGAAGATTTAATAATTACTAATCTAATAACAATTATTTTGTCGATATATTCTCTGGTTTATTTTCACAATATATGAGGGAAACCTTTCCAGACGAAACGTTCCTTATTATTATTGTAGAGATTTCACGTGAGCTACCAGCAAATGAAAAGATTTAGAAGAACAAATATAACAAAATCTTATTTTGGAATTTTGGCAAAGAAAATAGAAAATGATTTCTCCTGAAAACGTTGCTACATCGTCATCTTCGTCGTCATCATCATCATCATCATCATCATCATCATCATCACCATCATCACCATCATCATCATCATCATCATCATCATCATCATCATCATCATCATCATCATCATCAATCAACGCTGAAGTTTACAATGATGACGTATTTGATACAGTAGAGAGCGAACCATCGGTCCAGGATAATACTCAGTGCTCGACTCAAGAAGTAGACCCCAGGCGTTTGCCTCAAGAAGAATTCAATCAACAGTTGTCATTACTCAACCGTTATCAACAATATATAGATAACAACGACAATAATATTAATAATATTATTAGCACCAATGAACCGACTACAATGGCAACATTTACTCTACATCCAAATATCATCCAGGCTATGACGGATCAATGGTCAGATAGCGTATATTACGGACTATCTGAAACTAATAATACCAACATCGATATTAGTCATTTTTATTACGGAGAAAATCTAATTGGTTATAACAGCCGATATTCTGATAGTTTATTTGACTTTTAATAGATAACATATGATTTCATTTCATTTTCATTATACTAACTACTACTGGGATCGATATTTTTGTCGCAAACGTGACAACCTTTACACATGACTTTATATATACATATATGAACTCAAAAATTAATATAGTTTAGTGTAGTAAAATGTGATTATAGACATAAATTTGGGATTTTTTCACTGATTTATTCGCATGTCATCAATTAATACATTAATGCCATCACCACTACCAAAACCAGTTGCTGCTGATGCCTTGAAATATCAATCACCATCATCATCATTGACAATGTTGAGAACATTTTCCCAAGATAAACTTTATTCTATAAAGAACAAAAGCAAAATCCTGATCCTAATACAGTCCAGTATATTATGCAATACAGAAATACTGAATACTGCAATGATCTATGTTCTAGAATTAAAAATTATCATCATGAAATTTTGCTTTTGGTTGATTTATTAACCTTCATCAGTTATAACTATAGCATCCAATACTGCGTAAACATTTATTTTATTCTCGAATTTACTTGATAGATAAAGATGAGACAATGGAATGTTCCTAATTATTAAATAGGAAATAAAATCATAGATTAATATTTTCTTTTTAAAAAAATTTGTTTAAAATTTAAAAGAATAATTACTCATTTTTCATCATAAAATGAATTTGAAGTTCATTTTTAAAACTTTTAGTAATATATAAAAAATGCTATTTAAAAAAATACAAATGAAAATTAATTAATTAATATACAATAATAATAGTAATTGTAATATTTAACTAATGAATTGGTTAATTGACATTGACTAATTGGTCAGTTACATACTTTGAATGTCTTCCTCAATACTGTACAATTAACAGGCTGCATAAGATTATATATTGTAAAATTGGATCGAGGAAATATCCGTTTAGCTTGAAACATAGCATTTGATCCTATGTATATACATATATATATATATATATTTGATGAAAATTCATAAATTAATTCCAAAATTTCAAACTTTAAAATCTTTAAACTAATGATTTAACAAATTACCTCTATGCCGATCATAAGGATTTTTTACACTTTCAATGCTCGTTGCATCAGGATGAAAGGTTAATCTTATTTCTCTGGTATATTTATGAATACCTTCAATAATATGTTTTAAAATTTCTGAACTATATTCAACGCACAATAAATTATTACACACTGGAATACCCCAATCAGTATCTATTGTTTCAGTGATCATACAATGCAATATGTATGAAAATGTGAGTTCTAAAGTGAAAAACAAAACAATCATTATTATTGTTAGAAGAAAATCGAATAAATAGATAAATTTATTTATCTTTATTTGCCTTGGTTCTTTTTTTCAAAAATTAAAACACAGCCATTGTTGTCATCATCACCATCAGGCTTTACTTTAATAGTTAATTCATCAACCTCCTCAAAATCATTAATCTCTTTTTTAATAATTTCCTTAATTCCTGCACTTTGTATACAATAACAGTGGCTGTTTGTAATATTATATGAGGTGAAAAAATCTCTGGTAAAATTCGTTTTTATTGGTCTATCCATTTTGCAACTAACCGTCATTATGAGCTACAAAATAATTGATACTAGTTTTAATAATCTTTATTTTTAAATCATCATTCGAAGAAAATAGTTATATACTTCTTCTGGTTTTGTATAAAAATTAAGTGATGTATAGTTACTAGTAGCTAATCTCATTATTAAATAGAATTCTTTAAATAAAGATCAAATATGTTAATATATTTTTTGACACACGTGTGGGTGTAAATACATGTTATATCTACTGACTTTTAACGGAATCCTCCGTGATTCTGGCTTCAAAATACAATTGTGGTTCAGTAGTTGTTGATACGGATGTTGACATTGTTAGATATTGATGATTAGGGATATTACCATAAATGGTATTTCCTAGTTTATAATTGGCTAAATTTTATGCAGATCTTCTAATTAACTGGATCATAGATATACGTGCCAGGATTAAGCGATGTTAAAGATGCCATTTTTCTATAGTAATATATCAGTAGTTCAAATTATAATAATTTTTTATAATATAAAATTACTTATTGTTTTATACAAAGTCAATAATTTCTCTATTAAACAATTGATTAACTTGCCATTCATCAGAATAATGTCAAATCTTAAAAAAGAAAATCATCTTCTGCAACTTGTAAAATAAATTTCCCTGCCAATTGTAAAAGGTTTCATTTAAATAAAAGGGTTTATTAAATTCTATGCTTCCTTCTCTATATTAGTTATTTTGCATAAGTTTCTAATATTGTTGTTCTAAATTATATAAAGCCGGATTTCTAGCAAAAACCGTAAAGTATGATCATAATTAAAGATAACATTCTTGGATAAAAAATAAATATAATATAATAATAATCATTATACGCCATCGATAAAAGATAATAATATTATCACCAAACTTCCTAATAAAAAGATCAATAATACAACGAAAATAATATTCATAATCCTTCGGAGAAAAACGCAAATAATCCCAAATTGCCAAATTAGTAAAAAATAAATTTCTCTACATTACCAAATATGGTAAATAAGATTAATTGCCTAATTTTGACTAGAATTATTTTACCGATCGATAATCTACCAAGAATTTTAGGGTTTAATATCTTATTGTACCATTAGTATACTTATCATCTCTGTACTTATTGACAAGTCTCTGCACAAGGGGTCAAGATTTTTTGTACACAAAAATTTGGCAGAAACGTTTTTAGAAGTTTACAAGTACATGTGCACAAAAATTGATCAGTGAATTTCATACATTGCACAGGTGATTGTTAGTACTAGGAACAACAAGCACAAGATCAATTAAAAGGAAAGAATTGGATCATCCCACATATCCCATTTATATCCCTTTTTTGTTTCCCTTTATACAATAACAACTCTTACATAACAGGGAATGTATAAACTGGGTATGAATCCAAAAAAATCAAGTTATTTAGCATATGTAGCTACAAACATGATATAAACAGTCTACTTTTTTATTAAAAATCTTAATCATGATATTACCATATTTTCATTCTTGAACATTCTCCATTATTCCTCCATAAAAATACCTAATTATCCTGAGCATTGATGTCAGTGAATTCCTCTTGTGTTTTACTTGCTAGTGGTGACCTAAGTGGATCTAATGCAAAATACAAAAATATATATTTGCATTTTTCATACAAAGTAATATAATATAATAAATACATACTGAATAGAGTCTCCTTGATTCTTATTGATGGAGCGTCCAAACATGTTGGAAAATACACCTTTTGTCATTTTTGTGGTGGTGGTGGAGTTGTATCACAGGCATCCTGTAGGTGTTGTAGTTGATCCTCTTCACTGTCATCAGCTTGGTCAATCAAACAAATTGTATTCTCAACAATTTTCCGTGTGAATTAGTTTGTTAGATACAGGGAACAGTATTTGAAAATCATATATAATTACTTACTTTAGTCTTCCATGACATGGCAATTACAGGAAGTGTGTTTTTTCCAAACTCACTAATATGTGGTGCAATAGAAAGTGACTTCACACGACATACATATCCTGCTGGTGAGTCCATACGCAAAATTGACATCATAAGCCCTAGAAAAATGCAATAAAAGTAAGCAACAAAGGCAGATAAAGGTGGTATTGAGTGTTAGGTTAAAAATATACCAGAATGAAGGAATCCAATTGTTTCCAATTTGCGAATTTTACATTCATCTTGTTCAACAATCATACAAAGCTGATCAAACATATCTTTCAACATCTTAGGCCACTTTCACGCAGCAACTTTGTACCATTCTGTCCCTCAAATTGTCGGCCTGCTTCTGCATACCCAAACTCTGCAAACTTACGAATTATAAGATCACCCCTCCCAAACATTTTTCTTTTTGTATCCACTACCGCAGCCACAGTTCTTTCCCGATTTTTTCTTGTTGATGATGACAAGCTACATGACTCTCCTCTATTGTAAAAATGATTAGACTATAGAAAGAAGAGAACAGATCAGAAGTTTTTCTTTATTCACCTTACTACTTCAATTCCCTCAATATCATTGAAAATTTTATGAGTGAAAACTTCAAACATGGATGAGGAACCACAGCTCTAAATGGTTCAATGCTCAATTATTTGATTCATATTCTTGCAATCTGTGAAATGAGAGTAATGAGAGTGTAAATTTAGAATCCAAAATCTTTGAAATGAAATTATTTACATACAAATTGTATACTGTGTTGCGTATCCAATCTCAGTCAAAATCTTTTAATCTATTGAAATCATATCCATTTGCTCATGCCTAAACACTTGCTTCCGAAGTTCCAAAGTAGTTTTCTATTGGAATAATATACTTGTTATCAGTAAAATAAGCAAAATGTTTGATACATGAAAAAAAGTAAAACTTACAAAGTTGAAACTATTTAAGTACTTCAACAAGTCAAAAGGCATTAAAGGCATTTCCTTGGTTTTAAAATGACGAATCTCTTGTAATTCATTCATTCTCAGTAAAAACATTCTCTTTCAGGTAGGTATTGTCTTCAGGGTCCAGAACAAAAGAATGTGCAAGGCTTTTTTTATATAAGGATTAAAATATGAGTAAACTTATATATATTGAAGAATATATATAGGCTTATTGTTTAAATATAAATTTACTGTTCATATTTGCAATGCAAGCTGAAATTGTAAAGAGCATCTTCTATAATCTTTCCAGTTGTTTTAATATAGGCTTTTTTATATTTTTCATAATCTGACGCAGTCATCTCTTTAAGGTTGTCATCATCATTGCACTCTGGTGTAAGCATTCCTTCTGAACTTGCCTATGAGATAGACAAATAATATGTATAAATTACCAGTTGTATCAATTCTGATTCTTCAAGGTGTCAAATACTTACAGAAATGTCTAAATTTTTATTAGCTCCACTGTTCTTAGAATGTCCTTTTGTAGATTTTGTTTTAATAACTTCTTCAATATCTGAAATGATTTCTTGAGAACCACATTTTCGCACTTCATCTAATATGTCTATGCTGGACATCATGTAATGATTCTGGACCATTCGATATGTCAATAATGGAAATGTAGTAAGTGTCAACAGAGAAAATTTTCCAGTATTCTATTTAACAATGTCGACTTCTACTGATAACGGAGCAATATACTTTCCCCATAATTTTTAGCATTGCATGTATATAATCTTTTCATATGTATGATGACAATAATACATAAACTATGCTAAATTTTTTACGTTCCCATATGATATTTTCAAAAAATGATTTCGTGGATGTCTCTATAAAGAAAATGTCAACAGTATCAAAAACAAAAGACATATAAAAAGTAGATATAGTTTATAACAAAAGGAATATTTGGTGGATTGCAATGAGTGGACACCGAAAATTTCAGCAAAATCTCTGAATCGCTCTATATGACATATCAAATCATATAATAACAACTCAGAGGTGTACCATCTTCATTACTTGGGCACCGAAAAAATTACAGCAAAACCTCTGAATCGCTCTATATGGCATATCAAATCATATAATAACAATCCAGAAGCGCCCTCCCGCTTGCATTTTGTTTCCATACCTTTTTATTAGAATTTTTTTGCTTCCTTTATATATCTTTCGTACCATATTCCATCAAGTCCACCCCAATCTTCAGGAGACACTAAGCTAACATCTCGCAACTTTTAAAAAAATGAGGGTAAGTGTTTATGGTGTCGATTTCATCACGGAAGTATGCATTAACGGCTAGAAAACCCAATAACAAAAGTCAGAAGTTATCATGGCATACTTGCCTGATGTCATCAGCCACCAATCCACTGGTGGAGGATTTTTTCGCAATAATTCACGTGAAAGAAATAACCAATACACAATCACTACTATACCCCTACCACTATTCTCATCATTATTACAATTGTTTGAAATATTTAGGAAACATTTTACTTTTATAAAAAAACTTACTGGAAGTGTACAATAGTATGATAAAGTATCCAGAAAATCCAATTAACGAATTTGGGAAGTTGATCAAACGAAATTGTTGTTCGCGTTTTTACATACCTTGCAGAATGATAAAATGCCATCTTTATATATTACAATTATATATATATATTAAATTTTTTCTCCATGATTGAATTCTTTTCAAAAACAATAGATAAAAAATCTTACAGTGAAATAAATTGTTAACCCCAAAAAAGACCAATGTGTAAAATACCAAAAAAAATAGAGCAAGTTATCTCCACTTTGAATTAAACGTCCAATTAATATTATCCATGAATAAATTGTTGCAAATCCTCTAAATACAAGCAAGGATCTTGGTTTGATAAACCACGAAGTTACGGAAAGTTCAGGTTGAAATTGTTGAAATTGAAATTTCGTTAATTTCATTATATATTATTATGTATTTATGTATGTATATTATATATGTGTTATGTTAATATATTTATATTTATATTGTATATGCTATATTAATAATATATAATTTTAAATAATTAGAGAAAATTTAAAAGTTTACGAAAATTATTTATAAAAAAAAATAAAAAATACCACGCATTTAATTTTGTTTCATTAATTCTTTTCGTCCTAAAAAGGAAGTCTCACTTAATTTATCTATTATATTCTAGTGACTTGTTTTATAATAATAATAATGGAAATTAAAAACAATTAATATTATTAATATAATAATAACACAATTAAACCGAAGGCGTTTGTGCAGCTACTTTAAAAATAAAAATTTCGGGTTATCGGGGAATAGTAATAAGCGGTTTCAAAAAAAAAAAAATCGGTATTAATATTTGGCAACATACAGAGGTTATAAGAAATTTACCCACTCCGAACACAGTAAATATTTGTAAAATGTACTCACATTGTTTTACATAATAAACTGCGTTTAATGATAGCTTATTATTATTATGCTCTCAAGATGCAAGTTTGGTGAAGTCACATGATTTCTATATTTTTTTGCCATGACTATATAGATCTACTACCCTGAATATTAAAATGCGAAGTAATTTTTTTTATTATTATTATCTGCTAAATTTGATCCTTGTAAATTAATTATCTGTGATATAATAATAATTAATGTTCACTTTATCTGATATGACGGTTCCTCAATTTAATATTAATTTTTATTTACCTTCCAATTTTACCAAAGGGTATTCATTCATACATCATGATTTTTTTTTCGATACACGATGAATTTAGAAAATGAATTTTACGAAGAAATGTATATAATAATAATAAAAAAAATGTGAATTGATCGACAAAGAATTCTAAAAAACATGACAATGGACGATGATATGGGGAGTCTCAAGCGAAAATGAGTCAATTTTTTTTTTGTCATTTTCGAGATAATGATATAATAATATATAATTTGTGTGATTTATAATTTACTATTTTACAATATACAATAAAAAAATAGCAAGACTGCACCACTATGTCAATCAAGCTATCAAGTTGTTATGTTTGTGCATGATTTAAAATTCTTTTGTGCTCCCATCTTTCTTTGCTTATATATAATCTATTGGTTCTCTCTTTACTGGTCAAATGATGCCAAATTGGGTAATGGAGTATCAATAAATATAAGTCACATTTTACATTTAAATGTTTGAATATAATTATTACTGTTATGTTATAATTAATGGACACGTATATAAGATACTTGAATTCTTATGGTTGTAAAATAACTTTTTCTTGAATAAAGAAAATAATAATAAGTTTCAACATGGAAACAAATAATCATATTAAATAAATAACCCAGAAATATAGTATAAACTCTATTTCATTGATTAAACTGCTCTCCCACAATGAATTATCAGTTTACCAATTGCAAACTGGTTTTATGGTTTTATTTAAATTTGATTTAAACCGATTCTTGAAAATAAAACCAGTTAGATAATGTAACAATCTGGACAGAGGCTCCAGGCTTTTTCTCAACAGAAACTTCCTTTTGAAATAATTTAACAAAGAAAATAGGTATACAAAATAAAAGAAAGAAATGACAACCAAAATTGACTGGAAAAATAATACTTTTAAGATTATTCTTTTTTCACTATATAAAAATATTGCATGAATTGCATTAAAAATATACTTAATTTTATCATCAAAGTTCATTTGCAATTCTTTAAAACATCACAAACTTTTTTTATACCAATTAATTAAATTTTTAGGGTGTTTTAGATACAAATTCTCATTTGCTAATTTGAAATTCATGTGGATTTAATATATATAACAAGAATGATATGACAGTGGTAGCAATAGTTGTAATATAGGAATAAACTCTTGTGTATATTATATTTACACATTAAATTTTGTTCACTCATAAGTTGGATCTTAAAAAACCACCTGCCACCATTCAATTCAGTTTTAAAAGGGTGTCAATCCATAAAAAAAAATTTTGTCTCAAAATTTTTTTTTTTCATGGATTTTTTAATTTGATAGTTATGCTCAGAACTGCTAATTTCATGTTACAATATTTTTGCATTATATGATCAAATTTGAGACAAGCAGAAAAGTAATATGATTGTACTGCTTCCACATGAACAGAGAAAAACAAACTTTTACTATCTACTATTATAAAATTAAAAATTTTATTATTATTTCTGCAATTATTATTAAAGTCCTGAAGCTCCAATTGTTCATCACAAAAAAGCTAACTTTTGAAATAATTAGTCTTGCACAGGGTTAATTAATGGCAGATAGAAATCAATTCATTTTATTGAAAAAAAAACTTTATCATTGTAATAAAAATACTTGAATAATGTTTTTTTTTACAAGTCAAGAATCCAAGGTTTCAAAGATTCCTCTATATCATCATAACCATCCTCAAGAAATCTTTTAGTGATTTCCTCTTTATAATTGTTTGAATTTGTTTCATTCATTAATTTGGATATAGTTAATGTATTACATTTACGAGCTAATTCAGCAACATTCATTTGAGGGTTGTTTTTAAAAATAGTAATTGCAGTAATTAAATTGTGAATAGGGCCTCCTAAAGAACTGGATATTTCTTTTAGATCTTGTATATTATTAATATTATTATTTAGTAAATTTTGGTTTATTTTGCTACTACTACTGCTATTATCACCAATTGCAATATTATTATTATTATTATTAATTTTACTGCTTTCATTTCCAAGATTCTTAATGATGGGTGGTAAAGGTTTTAAGCTAAATTTATCACATTTCTTTTGCCCTTTTTGATTTTTTTTATTTACTGAAATACTTGGCATTTTTTTCTTTTGCCATTTTTGTTTTTGCCATTTTTGATTTTTTTTATTTACTGAAATACTTGGCATTTTTTTCTTTTGCCATTTTTGTTTTTTATTATTTACTGAAATACTTGGCGTTGTTATTGTTGAATTGTTACCAACTCCCATCAGATCAAAACTATAAGGAATTTTTTCTGTTGACTTGTATGAATGATTATTAATGGTATTAATTAAAGCTCCGAACGGTTCGGTTCGGTTCGGTTTTTCGGTTTTTCGGTTTACATTTTAATTTAAACCAAAAATTTCAGGTATCCCAAATTCGTTAACTATGCAAAAATAAACATAACGTAATAACTTATAATGACTTGTGGCTGAATGTATGTTGCGAAGTAAAAATGCTGGAAGGATCCTGCTTCTATATACATGAAGTTATAAAGGATTTTAGATATTTAAAAATCCGTTATAATAATAATAAATTTATTAGTATTAGTCACGTTATAACGGATTTCAAAAATGTTAAAAGTCGTTATAACATGTATTTAATTAGGTTACACTTCGTTATAACGAGGTTCGACTGTGGTAACGAAGATCCATTTACAAATTATTTATTTATTAAAACAAATTCATTGCCGCAACCAACTTTTTAAGCACATACAAATTCTTATTGTTTTAGGCTCTAAACTACATCGCCTTTGATTAATTAAGTCTGTGCCCCCAGAGAAAACCCGTTCAATTGGGACACTAGTGGCTATATAAGTAATAGGTTTATTAGAAATTAATAAATCTAATCTTAAATAAGCAGAGTGCAAAAAATTAGAATACCGGGGATTGCCAAGTAGTCTCTAGCTATTCTTGATAAATTAGGATATTCCATTTCATGAGCCTAAAAAACAATTTTAAATGTTTTTTATATACTTGATATATAAGTAATTTATAATATTGTAAAGTCTTTACCTTCCAAAATGACAAAACATCTGTATCAAAATTTAATGGAGGACTGTTCAAATACATGTCAAGTTCATCTGTTTGAATGTTTTTACGTCTTTTGAGTATGTGAGATTCAAGTGTATTTGGTGTTTTGGTGGTTTGAATAGTAGTATTACACTCCTGGATTGGCATATATTCCATTTTCCATAAATCTGAAATTTTTTCTTTATACATTTCAATATAGTCATCAAATTCATTGTCTATGTAATACTGCATTTTCAGACGAGGGTCCATGACTATTAAATATTTATAGCAATTAACATTTTATATTTTATTAAAATAAACAAACAAATATAGATGTGTATATTTATATGCATACTGGTTGCAACTATGTAAACTAACCCATCCGAAGTTGGGTAAAATTTTTGCAATTTATCTTTAGCTTTCTCTGCTGCACTACAAATATCTTCTGGATGTTGTAACTCAAGAAAATCTTCAATTAAATCAATCAAGTAATTGTATATAGGAACCGATCGTCCTAAAGTAGGATAATGAGCATTACTAATTTCGGATG